CCCCCCCGACCCCCGACCCATCCTGCCCCCACGGTCCCTGTCCTGTCCTGCCCCCACAGCCCAGCAAGCAGAAGCGGAAGTTCTCTTCCTTCTTCAAGAGTTTGGTCATTGAGCTGGACAAAGACCTTTATGGCCCCGACAACCACCTAGTTGAGGTAAGACCCAGACCTCTTCTGCCCGGGAACAGCCACCCTTCCAGGGACCAGCATCCCCTCAGCCACACGGATCTGGAGCAGGGACCACCCGAGTGCCCCTGGGCCCAGCAGCCCAGATGGGCCTGTGAGGTGACCCAGCTCTCCTCCCCCTGGGCAGTGGCACCGGACACCCACCACCCAGGAGACGGATGGGTTCCAGGTGAAGAGGCCGGGGGACCTGAGTGTACGCTGCACACTGCTCCTCATGCTGGACTACCAGGTCCGTGCCCCTCCCCCCACACCCTGGCTCTTAGGGCAGGCCTTGGCTTCAAGGGAGCGCACCCCGAGGGACCCCATGCTCTTCCCAACCTCACCTTCTCCAGAAGCATGTTTCCCAGGAGCCCAGTCATCACGTCCCCCAGTCCCAAGCTGCCTGGCCCTGAGCTCTTCCCACTCCCTCGCTTTTATTTTCGCGGCCATCTTTTCCCAGCCTCCCCAATTCAAACTGGATCCCCGCCTGGCTCGGCTGCTGGGATTGCACACACAGAGCCGCTCAGCCATCGTGCAGGCCCTCTGGCAGTATGTGAAGACCAACAGGCTGCAGGACTCGCATGACAAGGAATACATCAATGGGGACAAATACTTCCAGCAGGTACCCTCTCCCCTGATCTCAGGGATGTGGGGGGCAGGCAGAGGTCCCAATAGGGGAGGTGCCTCGACTAACGGCAACACCCCCTCCCCCACATCTAGATTCCTGGGTATCACAAAAGGTAAGCAGGGTCCTAGTGCAGGCCCAACCGTGGCGTAGCTCCGCGCCGCAGCCCATCCCCTTGAGCCAAGCCAGTTTAGAAAGATCTGGAACCTTAAAAGGCCAACAGTTTGGGGAACGTAATATTCTTGGCACTTGGGAGTTAGGATCCCTGGGTTCTAGTCCTGCATCCAGACTCTACCAAAGTAGAGATTAGCATTCGTAAAGCTGTTTAAATAAACACGGCAGATAAACCTGAGGAGTAAAATAGCGGTGGATGTTTATTGAGCACTTGTCGTGTGCCAGGCACTGTTGCAGGCAGTGTGGCCTCATCCACTTAGTTTTCCCAACCACCCTGGTAGTTACCATCCCCACTCTGGACATGAAGAAACCGAGGCCTGAGAGCTCAGGGGACTGGCCCGAGGTTGTGGTGTCAATGGAAGAGGCAGGATTTGCACCTCGGCGGCCACAGACCCAGGGCCGGTGCTTTCAACCACTGCACTGCACCAACCAACGCCCTTGTCCTCACTCCACCACCCACTGACACCCTCGTCCCTGCCCCAGCAGCACTGGAGTTAGACTTGCTCTTGGCGTCTTGTGGCTGTTCCAGAATGGAAGGATCTAGGACTGTAGTTACACTCTTTTCAAGCAGATGAGATTGGTCTCTTTCTCTCCTGCTTCAGATTTTTGATTGCCCGCGGCTGAAGTTTTCTGAGATTCCCCAGCGCCTCACAGCTCTGCTATTGCCCCCTGACCCTATTGTCATCAACCACGTTATCAGGTGAGGCCCCAGCTTGCTCCTCAGACCAGGGAATCATTGCAGTCCCGCCCTCCCTCTTCCTCCTACCCCCGCTCCCCCCCACCCCCCACCCCCGCATCTGCCCCTGGGACCCTCTGGCCTCTGTGGGAGCAGCGCGGATACCAAGGGCTGGACTTCCCTGGCAGCGTGGACCCGTCGGACCAGAAGAAGACGGCGTGCTATGATATTGACGTGGAGGTAGAGGAGCCACTGAAGGGACAGATGAGCAGCTTCCTCCTGTCCACGGCCAACCAGCAGGAGATCAGCGCTCTGGACAGTAAGGTGGGGCCAGAGCCCAGAGCTGGAGTGGGACATTAACCCCGAAATGACAAAATACAGACAAGAGACGAGAGCACAGGCCTGTGGAGAGATGAAGGGGGCAGGTGGCCCTTCCCTTGCTACTTAGAGCTCTGCCCATCCCCCCTTCCCCAGGCCCGGACCCCAGGGATTGCCCTTCAAAGGAACAGCAGCAAAGCCCTCCCCCCGCTGGCCCCTCTCCTCCTTCCCCTTCTCTCCCACATCACCATGGCCAGGTGAAAGCGTCTTTCTTTCTACCTGTAGATCCATGAGACGATTGAGTCCATAAACCAGCTCAAGATCCAGAGGGACTTCATGCTAAGCTTCTCCAGAGACCCCAAAGGCTACATCCAAGACCTGCTCCGCTCCCAGAGCCGGGACCTCAAGGTGAAGGGGACTCAGGGAGCACTGGATGGAAGAGAAGCATATTGGGAAGACAGTAAAGGTGGTTACACAAGGGCTGGAGGGGGTCCGGGCTCAGGGCTGACCCCGCTGCTCCCTCCCAGGTGATGACAGATGTGGCAGGCAACCCTGAGGAGGAGCGCCGGGCTGAGTTCTACCACCAGCCCTGGTCCCAGGAAGCCGTCAGCCGCTATTTCTACTGCAAGGTGTGGAGGGGCCCGTGTACCTCAGGCCTCCCCCCCGTCACTCCCAGAGAAGCCTCCCTTCCGAGCCCCGTCAGCGGCCCTTGCTGCTCCACCAACCCCCTCACCGCGGAGGAGCCCTCCCTGCCCCCAGATGCTCTCCCAGGGTGGATGGGTGGTGGGGACTGGCCTGTCACTCACCAGCAACAGCATAACCCTGCTACTGCTCTTATTTCCCTCAAGATCCAGCAGCGCAGGCAGGAGCTGGAGCAGTCGCTGGTTGTGCGCAACACCTAGGAGCCCCCGTGAATGAGCACCACTGTGGGCCTCCGGGCCCGGGGCCCTGGCCCCCCGGGGGCTCTGCCATCACTCCCCTGACACCTTCTGGGTGAGGCAGGGGAATGATTAAAGGTCATGCATCTGAGAGCAGCCTTGTGTGTCATTGGCAACTGGGGAGGAAGGACAAGGGGAAGGCGGTGGGTCCCTCTGGGAAGATTCCCCACCCCCTCCCTCAGAGTCTTCTCTTTACTCCATTTTCCCTAGACCTAAAAACAGTTTGGCAGAAGACACTTTTAATAACATTTTTCTTATTAAAAAAAATACAGCCACAAGCTCTCCATCTGTCCATCCGTTTTGCCTTGCCCTTCCCGGGGCTGCGGCCGAGAGGGGAACTGCACGGAGGGGCAGGGCCCCGGGCCATGCTAGGTGCTGTTGGCCTGCTCCGGCTCAAACAGCGCCACTGCGAGCTGGGCCCGGCCCCCCAGCCCCTCCAGGTTGCTGAGGCGGCAGCGGTGGTAGAGCTCCTCGCTGAGCCGTGGGCTACAGTCCCGCAGGGAGAACTTCTGCACCAGCCCTGGCTCCACGGCCCGGAAGAGGTGGAGCCCTGAGAACCGGAGGAAAACATCCATCACCTCCAGCCCCTCCAGGGCTTCCTCCTCTTCCTGGCCTGCCAGTTCACCAGCCAGCCGGGCTCGGGCCGCCAGGTAGTCGGCGTTGTAGAAGCAGCCCTCCGCGGAAGCCTGTCGGTCAAACCTGCCTCCTACGGGAGCCCCCCGGGCAGCGTCGGCACCGGGAGGGGACGGGGGGTCAGGGCCGGCTCCCGGGGGCCCTGGGGGAGATCTCTGTGGTGCCAGGGCAGGGTTGAACTCCTGGAAATGCACCGGGAAGAAGGCCTGCCAGCCAGAGATGGCGTTCATTCGGCAGCGGTTGAGGACTTCGGGCCCGGGCCTGGTCCACACGGTGGTGAGGAAGAAGAGTGTGTCCACGGGGTGCTTCTTAGAGACCACGTCCATGAGCCGCACCTGCGAAGGGGCCTCTGCGCGCACCGCGAGCCAGGCCAGCCTGGTCCCCGGGTACCGTTGCTCTAACTCGGCCGCTGCCGCCTTCACCCCAAGGAATGGCTCTGGGGCCCCTCGGCCACCTTCCCGGGGTCCGTAGACCAGCAGCAGGGTGAGCAGCGCGTGCTCTCGTGGCTCCAGGACACCGGCCGCAAAGGCCTCCAGGAAAGCCAGGGCCGCGGCGGCTTCGGCCGCCAGGAGCGGCAGCACGAGCTGCACGCGGGTGGCCTCTGTGACATAGGGCATGGGCAGGATCTCCACCCGGCTCAGTGGCCGCAGCAGGCTGACCCTTCGTGCCAGGGCCCGCCGGTGCCCGCGCTGCGTCACGGCTTCCAGCAGGAGGTCCAGGGTGTACTCCATGCCCCGCGCCGGGTCGAAGCGCCGATAGCCGTTGAGCAGCCGCTGCTTCAGAAAGCGCAGGCGGGGCTGGTAGCGCCGATTTAGCTGCTCCAAAGCAGTCGCCACTGCGTCACCCACATCGGCCCTGCTGGCCCCCTGCAGTGGGCACTTGGGGGACCCGTCTGCACAGGAGAAGGTATGCTGCTCTGTGAAGTAGTCCCAGCCCAGCACCTCAAATCGAGAGTGTGGTGTGAAAGGGGCCGGGAGCCCGATGGGCCAGCTCAGCCCTGCCTCGCCCTCGGGGGTCAGCACGGTCAGGTTCTGGATCTGAGCCTAGGGTGGGAGGGACGCACAGTTAGTGCCCTCTCAGGAGTCAGGGCCCGACCCGGCTCTAGCGTCCTGGGTTCTGAGCTCTGTCCTGACTCTGTCAACACGTAGTGAGGTGCCCCCGGGCTAATCGTTCAATTCCCCCTTCCATTCTTGTCTGTAAAATGCAGAAAGCATATGAATCCTACACACCTTACACAGTTGCTCCGGGAAAGGAAGAGGTGGGAAATGTGCTTTTGCAGAGGTTAAAGCCCCGCAGCCTTTCTCTCCCACACCCACAGTACACCTTCTTCAGGACTGAACCTTTGCTGTCACCTGCATTCATTCCACCACTCACAACCACGATCCACTGGAGCGTTCTTCCACGTCTACCCTTGGGCTTTTTAAGGACGGTGCTAGAAATCCAGGGACTTCTAGGCTTCTGCGTCTCCAGTGGAGGGGCACTAAAACAATCGTATCTAAGCGCTGTACCGAGCCCTAATCCTCATAGTGCACCTGCAAACCCTTTTAACTCCATCCAGGTCGGGCCAGGACCTTCTCTTATGATTGACCTGGGTGCCCATGGGCCCCTTCTCCTTGGTGATGTTTATACTTAGGTATGGTCAGCCTCTTCCTACCTCACCAGCCTCCCCGCTCGCCCAGCTGCGCACTCACTGGGAGCGCCGACCGTGGACCCAGGCTCACCTGCAGTTGTTCTATCTCGCTGTACGCCCGCTCCAGCTCCAGAGCACTGAAGCGCTTATGGAGCCTGTACATGAGGGTTCCCTCGGAGACGGGATGCACTGCGAAGGCACTCAGGAAAGCCGAGCTCCCCTCCTTCTCAGGGTCCCTATTTTTGGCCAGTTCAAATGAACGATACTGCTGCCCCTAAAGGGACCAATCAGATCAATCAAAACCACACACGAGGGGCTGCCTGTCCTCACCACCCTTAACCAGACTCCGCATTCACCCCTGTTGCTGCCACAGAACAGGGGGAGAGCAGGAGCTCACTCCAGTGTCCCCTTAAGCTTGGCCTGACTTTCACCAGACTTGGGAAAAAAGAATGTGAAGTAGGCAATTAAGGATGCCCTCTTTGCCCAAAGAACCGCACTGTTTCAAGAGAATGAAAGCCATGAGCCAGAAAATGCTCCACTACCCTGGTTTACCTTACTTCTCCAGGACAGTGGCCATCTCTAGGGCATTCCCAGACTGTGCATGTGTCAGGGGAGGGGGCAAAGGGCAGGGGGGCAGATGGGAGGAGCTGGTGAGTAGGGGCACCTTTCTATCTTGCCCAGAGGGCCCCTGACAAGATGCCACTTTGGACAGCCCGAGGGTTCTAAGCCAAGGTCAGTGGCTAGGAAGGACAAAACCCCAACGTGCTGCTGGGAAGGAGCCAGCAGCACCCACCCTGGAGACCAATCACTCAGTCACTACGAATTGTCGGGGACCAAGATGGACTCGAAAGGGCTGTCACCTGGTGCTGTGAGACACAGCCGATGCCCAGAGAGTCGATGAGGCAGCGGCCAAGCCACTCATCAGGACGGGCACTGAGAATGTCTCCTCGGCAGCCGTCCAGATGGGGCCGCAATCGAAGCAGGAGACTCCGTGACAACAGGTAGCCAAAGCCCCCGTGGCAGTACCGGGCCTGCTCGCCTGCGCCAATAAACTCCTCGGCTCGGCCCAAGTACAGGTCTTGGTTGATGCTGAGGTGGCCAGCAAGGGCTGCCAGGCGGGGGGCCTGTACATACGTGTCATCCTGCATGATGAAGAACCAGTCGTAGTCGCCCCCAAAGTGTGTGTGGAGATGGCGCAGGGTCTCTGACATGAGCCAGGCTGGCCGTTCATCCCCGTGAGATACCACCTGCATTCCTGCAGGAGTCCGCGCCCCTCGCTGCCCAGTGAAGTACAGTAATCGAGGGAAGTGGTGGGCCACTGTGCGGTTGACAGCCACAGCCAGAGTGGACAGGGTAGCCCTGGAAGTCAGGACAGCCACCAGCAACCGCTCCCGAGAGCCCAGCTCTGTCTGGATATACCGAGTCCTGTGGAGGGACCAACAGGCCAAGGGTCAACTCCTTAATCTTTAGGAGCCCAGTTTGTCCAGCATATACGTCGCTCCAGGGATGAAGAGAGGAGAGACCTCCTCATTGATATTAATGAGCTACTCCAGTGAGCATCCACTGACACTGGAATTCATTTGGGGAGGGGTCTACTAAGGATGGATTGGATGACTAGGTGGTTAGATGCAATTCCTGCCCTGTTTAAGAACATCCAACACAAATTTAACACCAATGGGCAAGACTTTCTTAAACCTGAGAAGGGAAAAATAGGAACAAACCACGATGGGGAATAAGGCAAAGAATTGTTCTAGGAGCCTAACACTGATTACCAGTGAAGGCAGAGGCAAGGCCTTAGAGCCGCGCAGAAGTGGGGTCCGGGGACCATGTACACACACAGCTCTCACCTGAGCACCTTCTTATAGGGCTTGTTGGGATCCCTGTAGTAAGGGACAATCCGGGGTTTGAAGTCTTCATCACTTTGGTCCAGTCCAGTTCTTGAGTCTGGATTATGTGGCACTCCTGGTTCCCCCACAGCTTCTACACAAGGATCTTCTCCCTCACCCTGGATCCAGGAAACCCGCAAGAGGCTCAGGCTGCATCCCAGAGACAGCCCTAGGATGAGGGGCAGTGCTGGTCGCAGCAGCGCCAACAGGGAGCTCAGTCGCATGGTGGTAGGCCCTGCCATATGTATGCCCCAGAGGGCACGGCCTCGAGGATCAATCAATAGATTAATGGGCTTTAGGCCAACTGCAGGCCTACGGTTTTAACCAGGAAACCTAGGGTCAGTGAGGTCAATGAAAGAGCAAGGTGTGTTTGCTTCCAGGCCCAGCATCCCCAGGAAGCGTATGGCTGGGCTTCAGTCCTCGAGGTGCCAGATTCAACCCTCAGTCTAAATGGCAACACATATTAGAGTCAATTTCACCCATTAATGGGATTATGGTCTGTCTTCCAGAAAGAGGAGGGAACAAAACTTAATCCTGCCAAATCTAACCCAAAATGAAGGACTACACACACCTTTGGGGAAAAGCACATACTCCATCAAAATAACAGCCTCAACGACAAGAGCCTTCGTCAGTAGGCCTTTTTCAAAGAGCACCTGGCGGAGGGCACGTTTCTCACTCAATTCACTGAAGGGGCTGCCGACTAGCTATTGAAGGCCAGCACGGGGGATGGGTTAAGGGCCTTTCGACTCTACTGCTGAGTGTTAAGGAAACACACAGCTACTAGAGTAACCCCTCCTCCCAGTCGAGAGTGGTCAGGAGCTTCTGCCATGGCGCACAGTTCTGCCCAGCCACATGAGGTGGACAGAGACGGTGACCCAGCACTGAGAGCCTCTCAGAGGAGCACAACGGCTGAAGGAACCATGCTGCAGGGCAATTCTTCTCTGAATCCCAGCTGCTGAGAGGCTGGTGCCGTCCACCTTCTTCTGAGAGGAGACAGGAAGCAAATGACAGTAACTCTGGCAGTGTAAGCAATTCAGCGTCTGGTTTTACCGGGGCCCCAGGTACCCAAGCCAAACCAAAGTGGGAGGACGAGAAGCAGCTAAAGACGGCACCGGGATCCTGTGAAAGCAAACGGAGGCTTGGCTGGCTTCGGACGTGACCGCTGCCAGGACGAGCGCCGCTGGTCTCCCTCTCAGCGATCAAAGACCAATTCCAGTCCTAGAAGGAAGGCCCAACGCGAGTTTTAGCTGTCAGTCTCAAAACAGAAATAAAACCGGCTGCGTCACGGAACTGTCGAGGAGGGGCTGGGGGACTCAGCTCGGTTTGTTCGGGCGGAGGGAATGGAGGTTGCGGCGGGGAGAGGAAGGCAAAGACCCCGTTATCAGGCCCGTCGGCGGGGCAAAGGCCCTGCCTGCGCCAGCGGGCGAGGGACAGCGGGCACACCCGAGTCCCACAGGCGGAGGCCCCGCAGCAGGGCCAGGGGAGGCGGCGGACCGGTAATGGGCAGCCCCGTGTGGCCGATGCGGCCAGCGCCGTCCCGGGGAGCAGGGGCGAGGGCGTGGGGGTGGGACCTGCTCCTGCCGTCGGGAGCGGCGCCCCTGTCGTCCCTACAGGGGGAAGGGCGGGGAAGGGGGAACAGACCCCAGTGCCCGGCCGAGGCGCCAGCTCCGCCGCTGCAGCCGCTGCCACCTCACAGCCCGGCCCGCGCCTTCCTCTTCCGCTGGCCGTCAGTCCCGGTCTCTATGGTGACAGCATCCGGTCGCTCGCCCCGCCTCCGCCCCGGGTGGTCTCCCCGCCCCTTCCCCGCACCGCGCAGCCGCCGCGGGGATGACGTGGCGGCCCTGCCAGGCACCCGCCCGGAAGAAGAGGCGTGCGCCCCACAGACGCTAGTACAAGTGGACCTGGAGGCGCTCCGCATCTTCAACCTCAACTTTTGTCTGCCTTGGAAATAAAATGTCCTTCGCCTCAGTGGGCGCGGTTCTGCCTCCTCGACGACTTCTCCCAATGGGCTTCGGAACCCCATCATCCACTGAGTTATTTCACAAATGTTGTTTGCCTACCAAGTTGCGGGGCAGCGTTGAAAGTATTGAGTGAGGGACGCCTGGGTGGCTCAGCCATTTAAGCGTCTGCCTTCGGCTCAGGTCATGATGGCAGGGTCCTGGGATCGAGCATCGGGCTCGTTGCTCAGCAGGGAGTCCGCTTCTCCCTCTGCCTGCTGCTCTTCCAGTTTGTGCGCGCTCTGTCTCTCACAAATAAATAAATAAAATCTTAAAAAAAGAGAGAGAGAAGAAAAGAAAGAATTGAATGAACAGTGGTAGGAGAGGCGGGCATGGTCCCTGCCCTCTGGGAGCTGAGGGTTGAGGGAGACAGACATTAAACACACACTGACATACCAAAAATATAAACAGGTAGAAAGGAAATCACAACCTGTCATAAGTATCATTGCAGAAAGTAGAGCCCAGCAGAAAAACATGACGGGAAGAATTAAATTAGATTGGGAATTTGGGAATGCTGAGATCCAAAGATTCAGTAAGTTACCTAGACAGAAAGCGGAGAGGAGTTTTCTGGGCAAAGAGCAGAGCACATAGGCCCTGAAAGAGGAAAGACACTGCCCTAGAGAAGAACTGGGGAAGGCCAGGGCCAGCTAAAGTCCGGTGAGAGAGGAGAAAAAAGCCAAAGGGGAGGCTGGAGGGCTGGCCGGGCCTTCCAAAGAGCACAACGGGTTTCCAATAGGGAAGGCACATCCCTAATAGGCAACGTGCAAGTGTATGAGGGGGGCAATCTCGTTTTATGGTTGAGGGGAGGAGCCAAGAATGCTACAAATCCTGCACTTTGCAAGACTGTCACACAAAAGGAAATCACCCAGCCCACACAGCCTTCAAACGTTCTCCTAAAAGTTCATGTAAGTGGAAAAAAAAAGTTATAATTAACTAATCCTTGAACCTGTGTTTTATTTTTTTTTTTTAATGTTTTATTTATTTATTTGGCAGAGAGGGAGAGCACAAGCAGGGGGAGCAGCAGGCAGAGGGAAAGGGAGAAGCAGGCTCCCCGCTGAGCAGAGAGCCTGACGTGGAGCTCAATCCCAGGACCCCAGGATCATGACTTGAGCCTAGCCAAAGGCAGACGCCACCCAGGCACCCCAAGAGCCTGTGTTTTATATCTAAAAACAAAGTAACTTTGCAGGGTTGTAATATGTGCGGAATTTTCAAGGAATGTAACTATCATGTAAATGGAAGGAAGATAATACTTTGTTTCATTCAGGAATTTACTAAGAGTTACTATTTTGGAGAACTGTATCACAGACAGCAGTGTCCTCCTGGTGTTGTCTGTATTTGTACGGTCACTTTCAAGGTGATCCTATATGCAGCTCCAAACATATGACTAATTATGTTTTCGAGCATAGTGAAATAACAATTATTGGAAAGGCTCTCCTTTTTTTCTGTTATGGTGAAGACAATAATTTTTTTTTTAAATTTATGTGTGTAGTAGGTTATATCATCTATTAACTTTATTTCAAAATAGTAAGGGGGTGTTATTAAAAAAAAAGTTTGCTATTAAAAGGGAACACTGGGGCTGGTAGAGTTAAGAACCATCATTCTAGGAAGTATATAAGATAGAAGTTACCGGCATTTGTTTTCCTTTACTGTGTTTTGGTCTATATCCTCAGTTAGACTGCAATTTGATCTCCCCTGAGCAACTGACACATAATAAGTGGTAAGTGAATGATTTGTTAGAATAGACCCTGGGAAGCAGAGTAGGGATGCTTACCTCGACTCTGGAAGATACAGTTTCCAGACCAGCATTGTCCAAAAAAAATATAATGTGAGCTGTATATGTAATTTAAAATTTTCACATTTTTAAAAAGGAAAAAGAAACAGATGAAATTAATTTTAATAATATATTTATTATATTATTAAACATATCAAAATATAATTTCAACATGTAATCAATATAAAAATTGAGATATTTTACATTTTTTTCCCACGTACAATCTTTTTCTTTTTCTTTCTGCTTTTTTTTTTAAATTCCAGTATAACATAATGGGGTTATACTAGTTTCAGGTGTACAGTATAGTAATTCAACAATTACATACATTACTCAGTGCTTGTTATGTGTACTCTCTCCTTTTTCTTAAGATTTTATTTATTTATTAGAGAGAGAGATGGTGAGCAAGAGCACAAGCGGGGTGGAGGGGCACAGGGAGAGGGAGAAGCGGCTTCCTGCTGAGAAAGGAGCCGGATATGGGGCTCCATGGGGGCGGCGGTGGGGGGGCGATGGACAGGATTAAGATCATGACCTGAGCCAAAGGCAGACGCTTAATGACTGAGCCACCCAGGCGCCCCCTGATAAGTCTACTCTTACTCCCCTTTACCAGTCTCACCCATCCCCCCACCCACCTCCTCTCTGGTAACCACCAGTTTGTTCTCTATAGTTAAAAGTCTGGTTTTTTGTCTCCTGTTTTTCTTTGTTCATTTGGTTTTTTTTCTTAAATTCCACACATGAGTGAAATCGTATGGTTATTTGTCTTACTCTGACTGACTTATTTCAGTTAGCATGATACCCTTAGATCCATCCATGCTATTGCAAATGGCAAGATTTCATTTTTTATGGCTGAGTAATATTCCACTGTGCATATATATCACATTTTCTTTATTCATTCATCTATCTGTGGACACTTGTGTTCCTTCCATATCTTGGCTATTGTAAATAATGCTGCAGTAAACGTAGAGGCACATATATCTTTTCGAATTAGTGTTTTTGTTTTCTTTAGGCAAATACCCAGTAGTGGAATACTAGATCGTATGGTAATTCTACTTTTCATGTTTTGAGAAACCTCCATACTGTTTTCCACAGTGGCTGTACCACTTTGCGTTCCCACCAACAGTACATGAGAGTTCCTTTTTCTTCATGTCCTCACCAACACTTGTTTCTTGTGTTTTTTATTTTAGCCATCCTGACAAGTGGGATGTGGTTTTGATTTGCATTTCCCTGAAGATTAGTGATGTTAAGCATCTTTTCAGGTAACTGTTGGTCATTTTCTTTGGAAAAAGATCTGTTCATGTCTTCTGCCCCTTTTAAATTAGATTATTCGGGGGGCGCCTGGGTGGCTCAGCTGTTAAGCATCTGCCTTCAGCTCAGGTCATGGTCCCAGGGTCCTGGGATCGAGCCCCGCATCGGGCTCCCTGCTCTGTGGGAGGCCTGCTTCTCCCTCTCCCACTCCCCCTGCTTGTGTTCCCCCTCTCTCTCTGTGTGTCTCTCTCTGTCAAATAAATAAATAAAAATCTTAAAAAAATAAATTAGATTATTCAGATTTTTTTGGTGTTGAGTTGTATAAGTTCTTTATTTTACTTATTAACCTCTTATTGGATATATCATTTGCAAATATCTTCTCCCATTCGGTGGGTTGTCTTTTTGTTTTGTTTATGGTTTCCTTTGCTGTGCAGAAGCTTTTTATTTTGGTGTCGTCCAATAGTTTAATTTTGCTTCTGTTTCTCTTGCCAAAGAAGACATATCTAGAAAAACGTTTCTACGGCTGATGTCAAAGAGATTACTGCCTATGTTTTCTTCTAGCAATTTTATGCTTTCAGGTCTTACATTTAGGTCTTTAACCCATGCTGAGTTTATTTTCATGTATGGTGTAAGAAAGTGGCCCAGCTGCTGCTGCTGCTGCTGCTGCTGCTGCTGCTTCTGCTGCTGCTGCTGCTGCTGCTTCTTCTTCTTCTTCTTCTTCTTCTTTTTGCATGTAGCTGTCCACTTTTCCCAACACCATTTAGTGAAGAGACTGTCTTTTTCCCATTGCATGTTTTTGCCTCCTTTGTCTCCACACACAGTCTTTGAAATTGACGGTTATTTTACACTTACAGTCAATTCAGACTAGCCACATTTCAAGTGCTCCACAGCCATATATGGGTAGGGACTACCACATTGAACAACAGAGTTCCAGACCCTTCTTGGTTACTAAGTTTCTAGGTAATTCTGGATGAAACATTTCCTTATTTGGGTCTCAGTTTCTTCATGTTTTACTTTATTTTTTTTTAAGTAGGCTCTACGCCCAACGTGGAGCTTGAACCCATGATCCCGAGATCAGGAGTTGGACATTCCACCAACTGAGCCAGCCAGGTGCCCGTTTCTTCATATTTTAAATAAAGAGCCCAGACCAAATGTTTTTCTTCCAGCACTGACCTGTGATTTTTCAAACTTAACCAGTTCTTTTCTTCTCTTCTCTTCCCACATCTCTCTTACTCTCTCCCGCCCATTTTCCCAATTCTTTCTCCCCCATACCCAGGTCTGTTCCCTGCAAAAGATCAGAACCTTAGGTGAGAATGGCAGAAATTCTACGTGGCCAACAATTTTTCTAAGCCACTCTTGCTGTGCTGAGGGAGACTCTGCCCAGCAACTGTTGATCATGGGAAATCGTGGATGTGATTGGTTGCTATGTGGGTGGCTTCAGAGAAGAAGCTGGTTCATCTTTCTCTGGCCATCCCAAGCCATTTTACAAACCAGAAAATTCCAGCCTCATATCCCGGCACTGTCTGCTACCAGCAGTGTTGTTTTATTAACAGCTCTGTGCTTTTGTTTCTAATCTGCAAAGTGGTAATAATACCCACCTCAGAGTTTGGGGGGGGGGATTAAATGGGATAGCATAAATGTAAGAGCATAATAAATGTTAATTTTCTGTAACCTGCCTGTAACTACACATTTTAATGAGGCTGGGAGAGGGAGGCATATTGTCGACAGTGCTCCCAAGAGGCTAGGTGCTTGGATGAGTGATTTTATGTGATCCACAACCATATATAACTTCTCTGCTTCATAAAGAAAGGCTTTGCAGGGGCGCCTGGGTGGCTCAGTAGGTTAAGCGTCTGCCTTCGGCTCAGGTCATGATCTCAGGGTCCAGGGATTGAGCCCCCACCGCGGGGCTCTCTGCTCAGTGGGGAGTCTGCTTCTCCCTCTGCCTGCTCCTCCCCCTGCTTGTGAGTGCACACTCTCTGACAAATAACTAACATCTTTTAAAAAAAAATAAATGTTCTTAATTGTGAGCTCCCTGGGGTCAGGGAATAACTTGTCTCCATTACAACTCCAGTATCTAGCTCTGCGCCTGACATATGACGGGCACTTAATTGGTGGAGCGTATTCGAGAAAAAGCTATACTCAAGGCATGAAGGCATGAAATAGCAGGGCTTACTTGAAATACAAGTAGACTCTAGTGGAGCATCAGGTTTGAAGAGAAAAATTAGTTCATTCCATGGGAGAAGAGTGAGCTCTCTCTCTCTTTTTTTTTTTTTTACTGAGGTGGGGGCACTTTTGAAGAATGTGCTCAAAGGGATTAAAAGCTTCATTTGCCTCCCTCTTAGCTGGATCACTGACGGTGGGGCTCCGCTGATCAAAATCCTGGAGAAGTAACAGGGACCACAAAAGGTCTTCCTTGTATTTGAGGCTACAAATTTGGGGTTTACAATGTGGGCGATGAGAAGTCCGTGAGCGATTTTAAACAGTAAGACTCAAGAGAGAAAAAAAGGGCAAGGTTACAAGCCTAACTGGTGACACAGCGAAACTCCGGAAAGGGTTTTTTTTTTCTTTGTTTTGTTTTGTTTTTAACTTCAGAACTCTTACCGGCAGACTTACACGGCTTTCACGGAAATCTAACAATTCCGGAGTGTGTAGGCTAAGCGGCAAAGGTTCAGGAACAACGCTCGGGACCCTCTAAAAGTTTGGTTAACACAGGACCAGCATCTAAAATCTCGGTTCCACAAAACGAGGACGCCTTTCTTTCAAAGAGGAATTCTGTTCTTCGCATCATCTTCGTCGTGACGCGCCTCTTTCTCGGCCCTCTCTTCCCAGTCGCCTCGCTCTTCCTCCTCCTTCCTCCTCCTTCTCCCTCCCCCTCCCTCCTCTCCTCTCCCCATTGTTTCGACCCACTCCCTCCTGACGCATGCTGGGAAGTGTAGTCGCTCGCCCTGATGTTTGAGCCGGCTGGGCGGCCCCATAAACTCAGTATCTGCACATAACTCAACAGATTTTTTGAGAGGTGGGGTAAAGCCTGGAAGGCCCAGCCCCTTATCCGAGGAGCAGTCTGGGAGTTGCAGTTTCCAGGCCCAAAGCCGGCTGGTTGGTGGGGGCTGGCTCTTGGACTCTAATCCCCCCCATCCTCGCTCATCCTGATGACGTCACGCGAGCCCGGCAGGTCCCTGCGATAGGCGGTAGTTCTCGAGGAGGGGTCTCCACTCTGGCCGCCGCGACTCGAGAACAACACTTCCCAGGAGTCTGCGCGGCGGCGCGCCGACAGCCGCGCGATGCCGTGATTGGCTGGTGAGCCGGCCGCACGCGGAGGAGCCCAAGGAGCAGCTCTGTTGCGACAGAGGCCGAGCGGCGAGGCCCAGTGAGTTGGGGGAAGGGGCGCCGGGGGGAGGGTGCTGGCCGGTGAGGGGGGAGGGAAGAAGAGAAGAGGGAGGAGGGACGGGGTCGGGATGGAGGAGGCTGCGGAGGAGAAGAAAGGGCCCAGGGAGAGACGCTGACGGGCGGGGGCTGGGGAAAGTCCCGGGGGTGGCGAGTGAGGAGACCCTGAGGGGACTTAGCGAGGGGAAGACGAGTGCGTCCCGGGAAGAAGCTGGGCCCGACGGCTCGGTGGTGTGGAGGGGGAAACGGAGAGGAGGACTGAGGCAGACGGGAGGAGGAGGAAGCCCGGGAAAGTGAGGCGGCCGGCTGGAGCGCCGAGCGCCAAGTTGGGAAACCGGAGACGGGGACCTCTGCCGAGGGGGCAGAACCTGGTCCCTAACTGGAGGCCCTGAAAGGAGGAGCGTTTCCAGAGTGAGGCAGTCCGTGGGGATTGGTGGACAAAGCCTGAGGGAAGAGATGTTAAGATTAGAAAAGCGGCCGAGGACCAGAATTGGCTTGAGAGACCCTGACAAAATTTGGAGCGGCTAGGCATGGGCGGAGCAGGGTATCCGAAGCTTGGTAGGAAAATTCCTGAGCGGGATGGAGCAGGGCCCAGGCATTCTACTACAAGTTCAGAATTGTGGGGTGTTTGCCTTTCTTCAGGCTCCCTGTAAGAACAGTTTCGTACCCCTGTGGTTCATCACCATGCCCTCTGACCTGGCCAAGAAGAAGGCAGCCAAAAAGAAGGAAGCTGCCAAAGCACGACAGCGGCCCAGAAAGGGACACGAAGAAAACGGAGATACTGTCACAGAACCACAGATGGCAGAAGAGAAAAATGAGGCCAATGGCCGAGAGACCACAGGTGAATTGAGGGAGACGTGGGTTCCTGGGATGGTTGCTACAACCTAATGGATGCCCAAACTGGAGTCAGAATCCTGATGCGGGGGGGCACTGGCGAATATATCTGGTGCCACAAAACTTTTCATGTTGAACCAGACCCATAGAATTGGAGCTTGTGCCCTCTTGCTATTGATCAGGAAAACCGAACACAAGGTTCTCACATACCTAGTGGCAAACAAATGTACGGGTATTGTGCTATCTTGGTGCTCTGCATGCTAGCCAGAGGAGGTCAGTTCCTTGCCCTTTTCTCATTTTCCATTTCTACACATGGTGGTCAGTGTGCCAGGTTCTTTGCCACATCATACCTCTGGCCTTCCAGGGGTAGTGACTCTACCAAGAGAGAAACTTATGAATGGCTTTTTTGGATTTTTCCTGGGAAAAGATGCTTTTCTGTTATTTATATTTTGGGAAATATTTATTGAGCACTTCTCAAATGCTAGACACCATGCTACATACTGATGCACTTTGAACTGTCTGTTCTCTGATAACTTACAGTCCAGCTGGGGAAACATGACAGTGTGAGATACAGAATTTTCCAGGCCCTTGGAAGTCTCTTCCTAACCTTCTTTCTGCCCCTCTGAAAATTCCCCAAACAGACCTGCTCCATCCAGACTATTATTGTCTCTTGACTAGTCATGACGTTTTTGCCCTTATACACCAAGGTCCTGATGCCACAATTTTTGTGCCAGGTGCATTTGACATTTCTCTCGGGGCCCAGCTCAGGATAGCAAAACTTTCCCCATCAAACCTGACCTTTAAAATAATATCATTCACTATACCCCTGTGCTGTCATATAGTGTTCCTTTTTATGTTGTGTCTTCTGTTTCTTCATCAAAATCATTTGATCTTTGAGTTCAGGGACCATGTTTCTTGGGTCATACTTTTTTGTAGGACTGACTTTGCAGATGGAGATACTAAGTAAATGTTTGAAGAGGAGAGTGAAATTACTAATACAAGTCATAACAGATAGGAATTCAGAAAAGGGGGAGTTAAAAGTGATTGAGAGGAGAGAGTTGAGTGGTAGAAATTGTCTCCAAAATAAGAATTATGGGAGAAAGCTGGTGCGGTAAGGTCAAGCCACAGGGAAGTTTTATTCCTGGCCAGAGTAGTGGAGGATTGCCAAGTTGAAAATGATGGGAGTGAATGAGGAGGCTGAGTTGTGATCTCTAAAATAGAGAGGTGGGGTCCCGTCTAGGTCCTCAGGAACCACGGTGAAGCAGTGTCTCTCATCAGCTCTCTCTCGCCGAATTGGAAAGGTAGCAAAGTGAATCCTACTTGAGACTATTGTCCACTGTTCCCATTACAAATTTCTTCTTCACTTTTGCCCCTAGGAAAATAGGATTTCCAGGGAACCCAGCTGTTGTATCCCCATCTCAGTAATAGGAGAGCTTTAGTTTTTACCTTGCTTCCTCAGGCAGCTGCTGTTCTGAAATGTGACATCTGTTTTCTTTCCAACCCTCTTAAAACATTTCTTATTATCAGGGACCGGTGTCGTTTCTGCTCCCTCTGCCAAGACTGAGTCCTCTCTCCTCTCTGAGTTGGAGATTACTTGATGCTCCAGGTCACCATTCTCCAACCTTTACTGATTGCCATTGTCACACAGTCTTCACAGGTGTGAAGTAAAAAGTAGTCTATGAAAGGAGGGTATTAGGACAGATCTGTATACAATGTATACACTCTGTAAAGCTTGTGAAACATCTGAGTCAGCTCCACTTGATCTTGAACCCAGGTCCTGCAGGGCATGCCTTTTTCAGCATTTAGGTCTTCATATGATAACATTTGGTCACCTAAGGAAGGGGCAAAAACTTCCAATGCCCAAACAGGGACTCGAACCCTGGACCCTCAGTTTAAAAGGCTGATTCTCTACTAACTGAGCTGTCTGAATGCTCTTTTAGTGCGAGGGTGGGGTCTGCCTTACCCTCTTCCCAAACTTCTTTTCTGTCTCCAGAAGTGGATTTGCTGACAAAGGAGCTAGAGGACTTTGAGATGAAGAAAGCTGCTGCTCGAGCTGTCACTGGTGTCCTTGCCTCTCACCCCAACAGTACCGACGCCCACATTATCAACCTCTCCCTCACCTTTCATGGTCAAGAGCTGCTCAGTGACACCAAACTGGAATTAAACTCAGGCCGTCGTTACGGCCTCATTGGCTTAAATGGAATTGGTGAGGCCCTTGGAAGGCGAGGTGGGAGGTGTCTCTCCTTGGCTCGTCTTGTCACTCAGCAAGTATTTACTTAGCACCAGCTATGTGCAAAGCAAGGAGTTTACAATATGGGTGGGAGACCACATATGTCCAGGGAAAAGGAACTAGCAGTACAGAGCAGTATGTGGTAAGTACCACATGAGTAGTTACAGACAGTAGGTGCTGGAGAAGTGGGTGGGAGGGACAGGACTGCTGGTGTGTGAGGCCGCTCTAGGTGATCTGACTGGACGGAAGAGGGGTGGGACAGGAATTGGAGGAAAGTTGGAAAGGTAGCCCCAGAAAGCAGGGGGGTGGGGGTAACTAATAGTAGGATTTAAACAAATGAAAGGAAGGAAGGAAGGTACTAAAAGAAATGGTGAGGTCGTGGTTTGGCTGGAGTGGAGGAACTGGTGCAGGGGAACGATAGGCAGACCTGTGCTGACTGTCCTCTTCCCATTCTTTGCCTGCTCTTCTCAGGAAAGTCCATGCTGCTCTCTGCTATTGGGAAACGGGAAGTGCCCATCCCTGAGCACATTGACATCTACCATCTGACTCGGGAGATGCCCCCTAGTGACAAGACACCCTTGCAGTGTGTGATGGAAGTCGACACAGAGCGGGCCATGCTGGAGAGGGAGGCTGAGCGGCTGGCTCACGAGGATGGTAGGGCTCTAGACCTAGGGGTGGGGGTGGACCTCCTCCCAGGGAAGGCCCAGGGAGCCTCACGAACCATTCTCTGCCCGCAGCCGAGTGTGAGAAGCTCATGGAGCTCTACGAGCGACTGGAAGAGCTGGATGCCGACAAGGCGGAGATGAGGGCCTCACGGATCTTGCATGGATTGGGTTTCACTCCTGCCATGCAGCGCAAGAAGCTGAAAGACTTCAGTGGGGGCTGGAGAATGAGGGTTGCCCTTGCCAGGTGAGTTCCTTCCTCCTTCTCTACCCTCTGTAGCTCCCCATTTCCCTCAGGGTTGAATGCTTACTCCAGTGGAACTGTTGAAAACAGGGGTCAGTGGTCAGTAACAAGACATCAGCGGTGTGGAGGGGGTGGTATGCTTGGGCTAATGAGTGAGCTTCCTGACTGAAGGGATCATTGTTGGATTTCTGGTACAGTGTTTGGGAATCCTAGGATCAGCCCTAGGTAAAATGGTAAAGTAGGCCCATTTCTTTCTTACTGACTCCCATCCTGTCCTTTTCTGTGTTTCAGTCCTGATCCTTGCTATGTAAAGATAAAATATATTAGGCAGTTATTAAGTAATCTGTCCTTACCTCTTGTGACCTGGACCCAAAGTGAGTTTGTAGAGACCATCATCCCCTCAGCAGTCCCCCCAGAAAGTCCCCATAGGTTCTCCCTTACCCCACTGTTCTCTGCCAAGTAAATTGGTGAGGTTTGAGACGCTGCTTTAGCAAGGCTTTCTGTGTGTGCCTTAGACCATGAGAGCAGTGGTTCCACGTGCTAGCAAGGATTAGCTACCTCCGGTTCCCCTAGGGAGCTTTAGAAGTACAGATTTCCTAGCCTCTTCTTCACATCTGTGCAGTTGGAATACTGGAATTTGGTGCCTGGAAATCTTGTTTCTAAAAAACTCTGCAGTGTGGTGACTGTGGGTATAGGAACCAGTGCTATCCCCTTGCTTCTGCTGGCTTGAGATTCCACCTAAGAAGAGAACATTTTTTGGTCTCCTTGCTTAAAGTCTGGCAACCCCATTGGATAAGTTTAACTTGAATACTTTTTGCTTTAGCAATTTATTTCCTCTCTCCTTTTGTCTTCCTGATGGTCACCAACTTAGCGTAAAAGACTTTCCAGACTCATAAGGACTTTTACAACCTTATCCTCAAACTGCGCCATCTTTGTGCTTCTCAGCACTCTTTTCTGCCCTTTCATCTCAGCTCTGGTTTCTCTCTTCGTTCTCCCCTTTCCTTGAAGGTATAGAACCTAGAATTGATTTCAGGACTGAAGCCAGGCCTGACCAGAGTTGCAGGTAGCAGGCAGGGCAGTCCCCTCCTGTGTAGCCCCCAGCAGACTGAAGGGGCTCTGTCTCCTTTCCTATCCTTCAGAGCCCTCTTCATTCGGCCCTTCATGCTGCTCCTGGACGAGCCCACCAACCACCTGGACCTCGATGCCTGTGTGTGGTTGGAAGAAGAATTAAAGACGTAAGGGGCTAGGGATGGGGGTTGGGAGTGGGCAGGTCCTGAAGGGGGGATTTGAACAGAGTCTAAAGGAAATGGATGCCTGGAAACTGCAGTGATAGGAGAGCAGTGAGAAAAGGAACTGATGCAAGGCTGGGTGAAGGCCAAATTGAAAAAATGGTAAGCACCTTTAGGGCAGGCGTTTTTGTTTGATTAGTTATTTTTAGTCTGAAATGTGCCAGTTGTTTTTTTAACTTTCTTGGTTCTTCCCATTTAAAATACAACATCTTCATACTTCATACATGTCTTTAGACAGTATTTTTCTTTTAACCGTATTTCTATGCATCATGTAAAGAGGGGACTCCCACTTAAGATCATGATGCAGTGACATATGGCTAAAGAGCTGAATAACTGGAATATTGTACCAACTCTGAGGGCAGGCTTTTAGTGGTCTCTGCAATGACTTGGTAACGTCTTTCAAAAAGCAGAATTTAGTGATTTTTATCGCACCTGTTCAGTTCTTCCCACCCATCTATTAGAGACATTTATGGATATGTTTGTGTACATACGCTTATTTTTACCATCCCTGGTAAACTACCATCTCCACTCCATTCTGCTGAAAATTAGAACAGGAGATTGAGGAAACTCAGAATGAAAGGCATCAAAGTGTCATTACAGGTGGATTGTGCACTGGTGGCCTGGGTGGTTGCTGGGAGCAGGGAATTGGCTGTTAAACCTAAAGGGTGCTCCTGTGTAAGGATGGGAAAAGATGAAGGTTGTCTGGGCCTCTCAGCTCCCCTGTTGTGGACCGTCACAGTTTTGAGTACCTCCCTGACTGGTTCTCTGCTTTACAGTTTTAAGCGCATCCTGGTCCTCGTCTCCCATTCCCAGGACTTTCTGAATGGTGTCTGTACCAACATCATTCATATGCACAACAAGAAGCTGAAGTATTACACGGTGAGTGGGCCCCAGCTTCTCCACGGCAACCTCTGTGCTTATCAGCTCCTTGAAGCTTTCCTTTAAAAAAAACAAAACAAACAGACTTCGTAGGCCTTTTCTACCTATTGCTATTAAAAGATGTGGACAAGGAGTCCTGCAGCCTTGTTCTATTTTAGTCTCAAAGTAGTTGCTCTCAGGTTGTAGGCCATCGATTGGCAGCCTGTGTGCGTGGTGTGTACTTGCTTTTTGGTAAAGCGGTTGACTTTTCATGGTGCCCAGGCAGGCCCTGTTGCTCCCTGCCTTCTTGAATGACTACTTAACTCTGCTTTATGACAGTCAGCACATTTATCCCTCCTTCCATGAAGAATGGGAGTCAGGATCTCAACAGCCCACTTGTCTGCCTTTCCTTTTCATTTTTTGTATTTCAAAAGAAAGAAAATAGAAGTCTTTTTCATTCATACTTATGCTCACTGTGGGAGTATTAATAATTTCTCGTATAGTCTTCCAGAGATTTCATGTATACTTGCAAGGATTTGTGGAAAATTTCATGTATACATATCAGAGCTGTAATATTAATAATTGTTCTCTTCTATAGGTTGCTTTTACATTTTTATATCTTACACTGCTTCCCATGTGAATATGTATAGAGCAACCTCACTCTTTTCAGTAATTGCATAATATTTCTTTGTGTAGCTATCTAGTAACTTATCAGGCCCTTTTTGATGAATATTTAGGTTGAGTCCAATTTTTTGCAGATAGCAACCATGGCAGTCCCATTGTGCAGTGTTTGCTACGTCCTAAATCTGATTGGTCTACTGTCTTCCTTTCTGGGTGCAGTTTCTGTAGCCTACATGGGGCTTCACCCTCTAAGCGGGGTGGGAAGGAGTAGAAGGTGCTCTTGGAAGGCTGTGAGCCTCGTGATGTCCATGTGACAGTTATGGTCAGGACTCCTGCCAGTGCTGTGGGTGTCTTTATGGCTAACCTGAAGATTTGCTCTGGAATCCTGCTCTGGCTAAGCTAAGAGTGAGAGGCACACAATTAGAAAGATCTCAGATTCTGGGTTAGGGTATGCTTTGTTAACGTACTTCCTCTTTCCCTACCGCACAGTCTTATAGCCAGGGCCAAGTCAGATGCCATCCCGCATCCCCCTAAACCCTGAGAACAAGGACCGAGGTTAAAGCTGCCTGCCTTGCCTGGCACATTTCTCTGCAGGGTAATTATGATCAGTATGTGAAGACACGGCTTGAGTTGGAGGAGAACCAGATGAAGAGGTTTCACTGGGAGCAAGATCAGATTGCACACATGAAGGTAAGAGCTGAGCTCACATTCTCCAGGAGAGTTGGATGAGGGTATTTGGGGAATTTAGGGGTGCTGGAAGTCAGGAAGAAGTTGTCATCAGTATTTACCCCACATTTATTTTTATTTCTTTATTTTTAAAAAAAGATGATTTTATTTATTTATTTGACAGAGGGAGAGAGACAGCGAGAGAGGGAACACGAGCAGGGGGAGTGGGAGAGGGAGAAGCAGGCTTCCCGCCAAGCAGGGAGCCCGATGCGGGGCTCGATCCCAGGACCCCGGGACCATGACCTGAGCTGAAGGCAGACGCTTAACGACTGAGCCACCCAGGCGCCCCAGTATTTACCCCACATTTAAAATGAGTTGTTTGGTACCTGCCCATACTCCAAGCCGCATTTCTGGTCTCTTTCAGAACTACATTGCTAGGTTTGGTCATGGCAGTGCCAAGCTGGCCCGGCAGGCCCAGAGCAAGGAGAAGACACTACAGAAAATGATGGCATCGGGACTGACGGAGAGGGTCGTGAGCGACAAGGTGGGGTCCGCTTCGGTAAAGTTAGTGGCCTACGGTGAGGTGGATAAGACACAACCTAACTTGATAAACGCCCTCTCCTCTTCCTAGACATTGTCATTTTATTTCCCACCGTGTGGCAAGATTCCTCCACCTGTCATTATGGTGCAAAATGTGAGCTTCAAGTATACAAAAGATGGGGTGAGTACTCCTGTGTGTTTGGGAGGCTGGGGTGCATTTTATAAGGTAAGCATCAACTGGCTGAGAGAGTCTGCTGTTCTTTGCTGAACCCACCTGCTAACCCACGTGGTCACGGGATATTTCAGACATAGTAGCTTAGGTGCCTCATCCAGGGTCTCACAGTGACCCCTCTTCAAGTACTTGGGAGGATAACTGCTCAGCTGAGTTGGTGGGTGGAAGCAGTGGGTTGGGGTCTGCTATGAAAGCTGCCTCCCTCCTCCACACTCCCACCTCCGGTGGTGACTAAGAAAATGGTGGGGTTATCTACCAGCCAAATTGATTGATGGGTAACCTAGCCTCGTTTTGATCTCTCTCTCACACCCACCTCAGCCTTGCATCTACAACAATCTAGAATTTGGTATTGATCTCGATACGAGAGTGGCTCTGGTGGGGCCCAATGGAGCAGGGAAGTCAACTCTTCTGAAGCTGCTAACTGGAGAGGTATGGTACCAAGTTGGTGTGTGCGATTTCTAAGAGTAGGTACTTACTGTGTCTGAGGAAGAGGGAAGGCGTGCAGGGGCCACTATGCTTGGAGGGGCTGAGCACGCCAGTGGTGAGTGAGCTGCTGGTGGTGAGTGAGCCGGCTTCTGGGGTGGGGGATGTTGTCACTGGCAGTGCTGAAGTTTGGAGCTGTTTTCTCAGAGGGAGGGAGGGAAGGAAGATCTGTGTGTGTGCGTGAGTGTGAGAGTGTGAGAGAGAGAAAACATGCATGTGTCTCATCATTTTTCCTTGTTTTCAGTTAGAGCGTTTAGAGGAACATGTGCATTTAGAGACAGTGTTTTTGTTTGAGAAAACCTATGTTGTAGGTATGTCCAAGTCCTTTGTTTTGCAGGTGGTGCATTCTATAGTAGACATTTAATTACTAAGTAGACTGTGTTGTATGTATCTTTGCTCCCCTTGAGAACATCTGTTTCAGTGTAGCTTCCTAAATATTTTTAGAGTGTCCAGATTAGCAGTCTATGAGGTGGTGTAGATTCTGTTTAGGAAGTTCTGCATCTTGTTCAGTGAACATACGCTTATTTTCCTACTCTGCTCATGTCTGCTTCTGACCGAGTTTCCCTTTCTATGTGCTTATCTTTCCACCTAATACTCTTTTCTTTTTAGCTACTACCCACAGACGGGATGATCCGAAAACACTCTCATGTCAAGATAGGACGTTACCATCAGGTAAAGGCCTTGGGGTATGGAATGGTATCCAGGGTGTGGGAAGGGGGCTGCATGCGACCAAGTCAGCTTTTGCCTGCTTCTCCTGGAATCTTGAACAGGTGCCTGCGTAGAGGTAGAGTTACTCAGCAGTTAACCCAGCAGGGTTCCTTTTGAAGTGGGACACCAGTCACATCTGAGTGAATTCTTTTTTTCCTGTAGCATTTACAAGAGCAGCTGGACTTAGACCTCTCACCTTTGGAGTACATGATGAAGTGCTACCCAGAGATTAAGGAGAAGGAAGAAATGAGGAAGATCATTGGTCGATATGGTCTCACTGGGAAACAGCAGGTCAGCGGAGGGGATGTGGGGAACAACCCCAGATAACTGGGAGATTGTACCTGTGTGGTTAGGGGACACTGTTCTGGCGACCTGAGGTCTCTTCCTTTTTTTTTTTTTTTTTTCCTTAAAGTAGGTTCCACACCCAACGTTGGGGCTTGAACTCACAACCCTGAGCTCAAGAGTTGTATGCTCTACTGAAAAGTGTCTTCCTTTGATTCTAGCATCCAGGAGAACCCACTAGCTTTCCTTTGCCCTAGGTTGTACGCATTTTAGTATTCAGGTCTCCTTATGAGGGAGCGGCAGGGATAGCATGCCAGTCTCTGACATGCCCTGGTCCCAGACTAGCAAGATAAACTGTAGTGCTTGGGGGCAAAGGAAATTGGAACCTAGAAAACGAGTTCCTGGATTCAGATCCGGATTGAGGATCCACCAGATTGTTCCAATTAGTTACGATTTAAGTGCCGAGAGAGAGCAAGGGCTATGGCCTTAGGTGCTTAGGTAGGTGCTTAGGTAGGTGCTTCAGGCTCCCACATTTATCCCTACAGGCCTTGAGAGACTGGTAGCTGTGTCGCTGTCTCACTGTGATCTTGGGTCTTCTTTTTGTAGAATGGTGATAACATTAATGGAGAAGCAGTGGGGAGGGGCGAGTCATGCTGTGTGGTGGGAGTAACACCAAGTTCTATAAATGTCACGGTTCCACTCAGGTGAGCCCAATTCGGAACCTGTCTGATGGGCAGAAGTGCCGAGTGTGTCTGGCCTGGCTGGCCTGGCAGAACCCCCACATGCTCTTCCTGGATGAGCCCACTAATCACCTGGATATTGAGACCATCGATGCCCTGGCCGATGCCATCAATGAATTTGAGGGTGGTATGATGCTGGTCAGCCATGATTTCAGACTCATTCAGCAGGTGAGGCCCCTGGCTGGAGTGGGGGTCAGAGCAGAGGGCGTCAGGAGAAGGTTGGGTATAACACGGTCATGGCGTGTGTGTGGAGGGGGGCACTTAATACATGTTTACTGGATGTGGGAAAAGGTCTCAGGGTGTAAACAGGGTGATGAGGACCAGATTTTATGGCTCTCTGAGAAACTTAGAAAGTCTTAATACTTCATTTTTTTCAGTAGTTATTTGGGGATGTTAGCCTATTTGACATTTGGCACTGTTAGCCAAAATTGGTGAGGAAGTCGGGTATAGAACAAGGTGCTTTTACTATTGTCCCAAGATTCTTTAGCATAGAAATAGTATTATACTAAGGAGGATTTGGATTAGACAAAGGGTTACCACCAGTCATTGTTGGAAAAGCTGCTGGTCATTTCTCTGAAGCTTTGGGAAAGATGGGGTGGGGAAAAGGAAGCTGAGAGTGAAGCCTCTAAAACAGTTTTTTTTTTAAAGATTTTATTTATTTATCTGAGAGAGAGAGAAAGAGAGAGAGCACGAGAGGGAAGAGAGTCAGAGGGAGAAGCAGACTCCCTGCTGAGCAGGGAGCCCGATGCGGGACTCGATCCCGGGACTCCAGGATCATGACCTGAGCCGAAGGCAGTCGCTTAACCAACTGAGCCACCCAGGTGCCCGAGAGTGAGGCCTCTAAACAGATGTAGGCCCTGTTGGGGAACTGGAGATGAGGAGACACAGCAGATCTTGGCTTGAAGGGCTCCAACCCTGCTGGCTACAGTACCCTTGGGTTAGGCATCCCAAAGAACCTAGAGATGGTGAAACTGTGAGCTGGATATGGGGCTGAGCGGTGGGGGTTTCTTCCTGGATTCACCTGACAGTGGTCTTCTGGGCAGGGACTGGGAGAGTGCTGGCCAGGGTTATTAAGCCTAAGATTTGCTTTCTAGGTTGCACAGGAAATCTGGGTCTGTGAGAAGCAGACAATCACCAAGTGGCCTGGAGACATCCTGGCCTACAAGGAGCACCTCAAGTCCAAGCTGGTGGGCGAAGAGCCCCAGCTCACCAGGAGGACCCACAATGTGTGAGCCCCTGCCCGGATGGGGCCGGGCCTCTGGGGCCACACTCCTGCATTGCTGCACTACCGCTCCCCAGCCCCTCCCCTGCCCCCACCTGCCTTAGCTGCACTCTGTGATCTTATCTACAGCTGGACAGTACCTGTCCGTTTCCTGTCCTTCCAGTTACTTTTGTCCATGTCTGGACTCGGCTGGCTATTCTGCCAGCTCCTTGCTGGTTACTGACCTGATAGTGATGCAGCCAGAGGCACCTGAGGGTTAGCGCAAGGGCCCACATCCTGGGTTGGCCTGTGAAAGAGCTTAGGGTCCTCGTTTTCTGGGTTTTGGTGATGTTGGAGGAATACCCCCCAGCCCACCACCCCCATTCCTTTCTGCTTCTGGTTTGGAGCTCTGGACCAGGGCTTTAGTCCTGGTCGGTTTTTAAATAATTATTTAACAGTGTAACTTTTAGACCTGCGTGACATCTACAAAGTGTCCAATAAAGAAAGAAGAAGCCATGGTCCCTACCTTCCTTTTCTGGTCTCTGGGCCCGTCACTCCCCTCCTCCCTGCAGTGCCAACACACTTAAGAGCTTGGGTGGGAATTGGTGGGATAGATGCAGACTAAAGACTAGTCTTTAGGAGTTGGAATAACTCTCCTTCCTTTGATTTGAAATTGTGCCTTGTCTTAGGCTGTTGTCTCACCACACACATCAGAATCACCTGGAAGACTCATTAGATCACCAATCATTGGGTCTTGCCTCAGGGTTTCTGGTTCAGTAGGTCGGGGGTGAGACCAGGAATTAAAACATTTCTAACAAGTTTCCAGGTGCTGCTGATGCTGCTCGTCTGGGGGCTGAACTTTGAGAACCACTCTCCTGAGACATGTTTTTCAGAGTGGTCTGAGGCTCCCTTGCTGTGACCTGCACCACAACACTTGGAGCAGGCGGTGCTTGTTAAAATGCAGATCCCCAGGCCCCAACCCATCGATTCCATTTGGTGGGATGGGAGAGATGCAGAAATGGTCTGGAGTCTGTATTTTCACACTGAAGTTTGTGAACCACCACTCCTGGGTGGGATACAGGAATTCTTGTTATTTTATCTGTCCATGGCCTTAATTTTTGTTAGCGTGGTCTCATTTCCTTCCCGGCCAGGGCCCTGCATGATCTATCTGAACTTGAATAGCACTTGCAACCTTTGTCCATCAGGCACACCGGTGGCCATCTGTACTGATGCGGATTCATCATACCCCCTCAGCAGCCGTCCCTGTGGGGAAACCTACACAGCCATGAGTTTTCAGTGCTGATTACAGTACATCTAATCAGTCCCAGATGGTGTCTAAACCCCTAAGGAGCTCACGATCTAATGGGGAAACCAACACTGACTAGAGAACACAATGGCACAAATCAGATGCTCAGTTGTGACTTGTTAGGAGACAAAGAAGGATTCAAAAGGGGGGAAAGTTTCTTGTGAGTAGCTATCCAGAAAGACAGGTTTGGTGCTCTAACTTGAAAGATGAATAGGACCTCAGATGGCCCTGAAGTCCAAGAGCTGCCCTGGGCAGATGGAACGAGGAGAGTGAACGTGAGGTGAGAAGCTGCAGCTGAGCCCTCAGCGGCGAGGCTGGAGTGAGGCTCAGACTCCAACCCTGAGGGGCTTGGCTTCATTACTTTGTGCCTTTGTGCCTAAGTCAGTCTGCTCTAAGTATCCAGAGACGGGTAGGGGGGAGAATGGCCTCGAGAATGAGCTGCTGGGATGATGGGAACAGAGAGGAGAACTTCTGCTACTTCAGCCAAGGGAGATCCTGGGTATGTTCGTACCAATTCCCTTTGAAGTCCCTCAGGGTCTTCAGTGTAGAATACTTGAGGTGCTAAGTAAGGTTTCAGAACTGGAAGAATCAAAGCAGGCTATTCAGCTTGCCTGTCCCCCCACCCCTCGAAAAGCAAATTTCAGAAACTTCAAGAATGCTTAAAAAGCCCACAATACATATATTTCTACAAAGGCCTAAAATAAGCAGTGTTCTATTTTGGATTAAGAATTCCCTCCTGGTCTTCTTAAAGCTTAGCACGGAAGATGTAGCCGGATGTTGGGAAGCGGGTGAGGAGGTGAGATTAGTGAGGTGTTGGCTGCTCAGGCTTGCTTTCCCCCACCCACAGGTGATGCTTGTCTTCACTACTCTCCCCCACCTCCTCCTGATTGGGAAAACCCTCTTTCCCCCCAGCCCATACCTCTCCTGTTGGCTCCAGGTTTCTTTAATCACAGCACTTAAGAACCTGAAATATCATTCACACATAGGTGCAAAGTGAGAACTACTCCGTTGAACAGCTGTCTCTTTCCTTTGCAGCTTCCACGGGGAGCCCACATCACCTGCTTTTATGGAGAGCATCCAGTGTTTCTCTGCTCTGGCTCCTCCAGTCCGCCCAAACCCCCTCCCTGGCAGGCCCTCCCAGCCTGTGGTTTCCTGCTGCCTGCATCTGGTCTAGGCTCAGGTTCTGCTCCACTTCTGCCTTCCGTCCAAGCCTCACTGTACTCGGCACGCATCGATTCCACTCTGCTTTTTCCACGGATTGTCCTGTCATTCTCCCCAGTTAAACTGTACCCCCCAAGAGACCAGCGTCAAATTCCCATTCCTTCCATGAAGCTATCTCTGGCTACTGTAGCCCTCACTAGTATTTCTTTTCTTTTTTAAGATTTTATTTTACTTATTTGAGAGAGAGAACAAATGATGGGGAGGGGCAGAGGGAGAGAGAGAGAGAGAGAGAGATAAGCAGACTCCCCGCTGAGCAGGGACCCCCCCCCCCAACGCCGAGCTCGATCCCAGGACCCTGAGATCATGACCGGAGCCGAAGGCAGACGCTTAACCGATTGAGCCACCCAGGCGCCCCAGCCCTCACTAGTTTTTCTTTTCTGAACTCTCTGTCCCTATACCCCCTCTTTAGTCCTACTCTTCTCTTTCCTGTGAGCCAGTCTGGCTTCTTCCACTGTATTGTAGGGCTCTGTGGGTGGGGGGTGGGGTTCCTTGTGTTCCTCCTGATACTCCCCTGCATTTCAAGTCATGCTGAGCACAGTGGGTGTAGAGTGATCTCATAGCCTGGTTTGGTGGTGTGTGAACTCTCACAAGTGTGTAGTACGCTGGGAGATGGGGGGGAGGGCTTCTCGTTCAGAGACAGGAAATCACGTGGGGAAGAGGTGGGAGCCATTAGCCTCTTTCAAGATTAAGGGAGAGCATGTTCTGGATAGGGATGGGCCAAGCTCCTCCCCCTCCCCCTCTACATCCCAGGTGCTGGCCCCCAGCCCCACCTGGTGGGCAGCTGACTCCATAAAATACCCCAAGGAGCAGGAGGTGGCCTTTAGGAGGAGCAGGAGAATGAGCGCTGAGCATGGACAGCAGCAGCCGTCTGGGGGCCGAAGGGGCCGTAGTTCTGGTGATAAGAAGTCCAGAAGGCGTAGCCGGCGCAAGGAAACCTACTCAATGTATATCTACAAGGTGCTAAAGCAGGTGAGAGTGGGGAGCTAACGTGTGTGCACGCGCGCGTCTGTGGGTGTGTGTGGAGTGTACTGGCCAAAGAGCCTTGAGAGAGCACTGGACAGAGAGTCCTACTCTGTTTACTCCTGGCACTGCGGTGAGTGGCCTCAGGCACGCCGTGCCCCTCTGGAGGTGGCTCCACTCGAGCTCAGAGGGCCCTACAACCTCTCGGTATCTGTTGTGCACCTATGACGGGCAGGAGACCTTTAAAGCACGCCACCGCCGTCCAGAAGCTTCCAGGGCTTTGGACAGACAAGGTGATTATGTGGAACGTTAGGTGGGACATAATTAAAAGACAGGGAAGACTGTAAGAAAGTGTGGGGCTGAAGGGTGATCGAATGCCAAACCCATTACGGTACAAACAAGAGGTCCTGTTCGTGCTCGCCAGAGCAGGGAGTGGTGTGTGTGAGCTTACGTCTTGGGGAAGGCCTTCCAGCCACACAGCACCCAGTCCCTGAGGGGCTACGGGATTGGTCTGCTGCACAGAGGAGGAACCTAAGGTCCATAAAGGCTCAGTGCATTGACTGAGTCACATGACCTGACAGTCGCACCCCCCCCACCCCGGCTCTGAGCAGGCCCCTCACTTACTTCCTGATTGTCCCACCTCTTAACCCACAGGGGCGGTGTATGCTCTCTGTGCGTGCAGCCTAGCAGAGCACCTACGAGAAGCACCTACTCCTGGCACTTGCACACTGACAAATATTTGGGGGCATCAGTGGGCACCCGACAACAGTGTGTCAAGGATTCAAGGCACCCTGGCCTCCAAGCCTCTGCCCCCTCAGCAGAACCAGGGCTAGGAGCCGGCAGAACAGCTCTCTTGCCTTCCCTGAGTCTCTACAACCTGCCTGGGTCTTACCCCTTTGTGAGAATAGATCTAGACATGAAGCCTGTCTTCAGTCTGAGTCCCATTAGCAGTTTCAGGGACCTGACAAGCTGGGTCTCTGAGAATGCTTTTGTGGGGTCAGGTTGGGGGCGGGACCAGCACTGTCATAGACAGGCCGAAGGGCAGCAGCGGAGGGCTGACTCCAGTGACCTGAAGAGCATGGGGGTGGGAGGGAACACTGGTGAGCCCTGCAGCTCCACTGAACCTTGGACTCAAAAACCGTGAGGCAAGGGTTGGCCCTGGGTTGGACTGGCGAAGGAGAGCTGCTTGGGGGGGAGGGGTCACCCACAGACTGTGACCCCTCTCAACCCCAAAGAGAAAAAGTTGTGATGACAGCACGAGGGGTTCAGGCTCGGATCCCCTGCTGCCGGTGACATCCAGAGGCTGTGCGGAGAGCCCGGGTTCCATTTCTGTCTCCACCACTGGCCTGATGTGTGTCACTGGCAGTTGCCCCTCCCACTTCACGGGGACAATACTTCATGTCTGGCCACTCCCACGTTTGGATTGTTATCAGGCCCCCACCACTTGTGTTACTGGAGGTCACCTAGGTCAAAAGCTTGGGTGACAGAGGAGGAAACTGAGGCCCAGAGGAAAGTGCCTCATTGGAGGTCAGGCAGTGACTCAACAGGTGTTCTGACTCCTAGTCTGGTGCTGAGATCGTGTCACATGAGTGTGCTCTCCGGACAATAATTTGGTAACAATCTGCCAAGGTAAGTGTGTAAACCCTTGGACCCAGGGGCCATCCCACCTCCGGGAACTTCACCGCTAGGAGTCGCTTTCTAGGAGTAACGCTATGCAAATACACGAGAAAAAGCAAAATGTTGTGTAACTGATTCCGTTTGTCAACGGTTGATGCTTATATGTGCTCATACAAGGAACTTAATAGCATTACTTTTTACAGTTGGGAAAACCTTTTAACTTGGATGTAGTAGGAAAAAACCCAACCCCTATTTCCATGTCTTGGCCTCTGGAGAGAGGCTGGTGAGGCAGCCTTGCAGTCCTGAGCCAGGACCTGGGGCCGGGGCCGGGGCCGGGGCCTGCCGCGTCAGGCAGAGCCTCCTCCTTAACAGAGTGGTTCCACTGCTTCTCCAGGTGCACCCAGACATCGGCATCTCTTCCAAGGCCATGAGCATCATGAACTCATTTGTGAATGATGTGTTTGAACGGCTGGCTGGCGAGGCTGCCCGGCTGGCCCAGTACTCAGGCCGAACCACACTGACATCCCGGGAAGTCCAGACGGCGGTGCGTCTGCTGCTGCCCGGGGAGCTGGCCAAGCATGCCGTGTCCGAGGGCACCAAGGCCGTCACCAAGTACACCAGCTCCAAGTGACCCAGGGCCAAACATTAATAAAGAGTGAACTGTTCCCGCACACTGTGGTGATTTGGAAAGGGGAGGTGTGATGTGGGGCAAGGGTATCGTCACTCTTTATGGCTACAGGGTAGAATAATACTTATTCATACTTTTTATTTTTTATTTTTTAAAGATTTTTATTTATTTGACAGAGACACACAGAGGGAACACAAGCAGGGGGAGCAGGAGAGGGAGAAGCAGGCTTCCCGCTGAGCAGGGAGCCCGATGCGGGGCTCGATCCCAGGACCCCGGGACCATGACCTGAGCTGAAGGCAGACGCTTAACGACTGAGCCACCCAGGCGCCCTTATTCATACTTTTTAAAAAACTGCTTTCTGAGCGTGCCCCACGAACATCATGTGACAGTGCTTTGTAAACACACAAAGTTCTAACCGAGCTTTAACAGGACTTGGGATCTGGATTAGAATCCTCGATCGGCTGTGTGTTAAGTCTTTCAGGCCATGGTTTCATGAGGCCTTTTCTGACAAACTATCATTTTTGTCCTGTGTCGGCCATGGGAACCACATAGATCTTATTCTTCAAGACACAAAATGGAAGGGTTCTCAATAACCTGCTGGGATCTATAGAATGTGTTTATTGTCCCCTAATGTTTTCTTCCCCCTAATTTCAGAACAAATTGGAAGGAATATTTGAGACTCCTTTTTTTCCCCAAACTTTATGTTGAAAAATCTCAAATCCACAGAAAAATTGCAAGAAAGTTCAATGACCACTTGTATATCCTTCACCTAGATTCACCACCTAACATTTGCTCACACTTGCTTTTTCTCTCTCATTCGGCCTCTGCTCTATCTTGTGGGCGTATGACCCACAAATTCTCTCCCAAGCTGTGAGGGGGTGGGGTGAAGGGGTTGCCTTCAGGGAACAAGTCCAAAATCCTTTATCTTCCCTTTGCCACTGGATAGACGCAGCTTGTCCCCTTCATGTACTGAATAGGCTCACTGTAACGGGGGCTGACATCTGGATGCCGTCCTACATCCTTGACGTATATTTTCTTAGAGGCCAAGCCTAACCTGGAGATGCCATGTGAGAGGGGAACCAATCACCCACATTTTAGTCCCACAGCTAGAAAGGAGAGGGCCCAGGACACCTGGCCCCTGAGCCCCGCCTCTTCCCCACTCCCACTGAGTTTCATACCTTGCTACGGTGTGACTCAGAGACCCACGTCAGATCGTGGAATTAGCATCTGCGCTTTTGACAAGATCTCGGGTAATCTGCGTGCACATGAAAGCCACGGAACTCCTCATCTCTTGCTCCTCTTTGCTGCTCTCCCCTTTCTCTCCTTTTCCTTTGCTCTGTGCTTTATTTATTCATACGTTCCCGACTTAACACCGAATCAAAAAGGTCACCCTCAGCTGACCAGAGTCAGGGTGCTGTTGCTATGTTTTGTATTTTTCCAAAGAATGGTCTCCTGAGCCTGTTGCCCTGATGGCTACAGCCACAGATGGCTCAGAACGAGCCCCAAAGGCCACTGGGTCCCCTCTGCTACTCTTTCTAATGTCATTCTTTACCCAGGCATAGTTCGCAGGAACCATGTGAAGTGCGATCAGACCCCAGGGAAACAGGTATGCTTGTGCTCATCTCAAGGGGGAGTCGTGACTTTGCAGCCTGAACCCTGACCTTCTGACCCCAACTCCAGTGCCCCTTCCCCCTCACATCACACCTGCCTCCAGGACAGTCATCAGTAAGAGCCAAGGAGGCTGGCTCTGAGTGAAGGAGTATAGGGTTCCCCCAGCTGAGAAGTGCAATTGGAAAAATGAATGCCTTTAGGACTAACCTTCACCCAGAGCCTCACTGCTCCCAGGGTGGCTTCAAATAGTGACTCCTCTTTTATTTGATCCTCACAAGAAAAGCAGCCACGGCTGACCCCACACTCTGCCCTAGCCTCCCAAGGCTTGCTACAGGAACATCCTCTGAGGTAGGGGTCCCCAGTCCTGTACCTACTGCCCCCTCCCCTCACAGCCTTAGAACATTGAGACAATGGGCCAGAACTCTCAAAACTGGGCTGTTCTGGCTTTCGGGGCGTGGAGTCGAGGTGGAGGCACAGCTTCTGTGGACTGCATGACCAGCTCACAAAGGGAACTGTGAGAAGTGGGCACCATGTCTGAGGGGTGAGTGAGGAGCAGGAGTGGAGCCCCCAGGGCTGGGGCAGGTGGGTGGGGAGAAGGGGTGCCAGGGAGAGGGGGTTGTGGGCTGGGCCAGCCCTGGCTAGGCCCCAGACATTCACACAACAACCCCTGGCTGTGCCGGTCTGTGGTCAGCTTTCCCTCTTCGGACTTTCCTTGAGCTACTTATTCCAGAATCAGGGGAAGGGACCCTTCTCTACACTCATCCCTTACCCCCACTTCCCACTCACCCTTCTAGACGACCGCAGCATCCCTGGGCTTCACCCTCTCCCTGGAGGGACGGACTGCGGACTCCAAGAGGCCTCTTCCTTACAGGGAGCCCCTGAGGGCCATGCCTATCCTTCACCCTCCTTGCTAATCCATCAGTGGCCTCCCTCCTCCCAGTGATCCCAATCTCCCACGTGCTGGAGGCCTGGACGTGTGTTCTCTTCACTACCACCTCACTCCCCCTCAGGACCCCTCCGGGCCATGAGTAACCTTAACTGCACACCTCTGGAACCCCGAGTTCACACTCCCCAAAAGGCTCAGCAGAGCCCGTCTTCCCCGTCCTTCGCCCCCTCCCCCACTCCTGCGAGGCGCAGATCCGAGGCTTGCTGCTCCCTCTCCTCTCCAGAGCTTACCAGCGCCTCTGGGACTCATCCCACGTGACCCTGCAAGAGCTGCTGGACCAGGAGCAGCCCCTGCTCGAACCCGTGCCCCCCCGGGAGCGGCAGTCGTTCCAGTACAGGCTCTCGTCGATCTACCTGTACTACCTGGGGCTGATGCGCCGGTTCGACACCCTCTACGACCAGATGGTGCAGCCGCAGAAGCGGCGGCTGCTGCGGCGGCTGCTGGACAGCGTGGCGGGCCGCGTGCTGGAGCTCAAGGACGACCTGGTGCGCGCCGACCTGAGCGAGTACCACTGCCTGGAGCGCGTGCTGCAGGACCTCAAGCTCACCCCGGTGCGCGGGCCGCGCCGCGGAGCCACGCCCACTCCAGCGGAGGGGCGGGGTGGCCGGTAGCCTTGACCTCCCGCGGACACGGAGCCACGGCTCCACCACCTGGGGCGGGAGGGGGCGGAGAGGCCTGATCTCCCAAGGACAACCCTGATGTTAGGACCTCTGCAAGGGAAGGGGAACGGGGCAGATCAGGGGATGGGGTTTGATCGCGAGAAGGGTTTCAGGAAGAGGGGGTGCATGCGGGTAGTTGGGGGATGGCTGGAGAGTCAGGCTGGAGGCTTCGCAGGGCTGGGAATACCCACCAACCGCAGGGGCTTGGTGAAGACAGTCCCCCAGAGGCCCGCTTCTCAAAGTGTGGTTCTTGGACCAACAACATCAGCATCACCTAGGACTTTGTCAGAAATGCAGAATCTCGGACCACAGCTCAAACCCACTAATCTGCTCCTGCATTTTAACAAGCCTCTAGGGTGATGTGAATGCTCCAGTCTCCAGGCTGCCCCAAGGGCATGGGCCACTGCTCCCCATCCGAAGAAGTCTCAAAGTTTCCAGACCTGCTGCATCAAACTCAGCTGTGGACTTGAAAAAACAAACTAACAAAAACAGACTCTCCAGGCCCTGCCACTCTGATGTGGTAGTCTGGGGAGGGCCTAGGAGTCTGCATTTTAAGAGCTTCCCAGTTGATTCTGATGCACAGTCAGGATTGGAACCACTGCCCATTACGTATCATGATTCTCCAGAATTCAACTCCGGTTACATGGTGGGGCAGGGAGATAGAGGGATGAGCTTAAGGGGACCTGCCCAGAACCCATAAATCTCCCACCCCAGGGCTCTAGGATGAAGGAAACCATCCCCAGGGTCTGTGTAAGCAGCTAAAATGGTAGTATCAGCCAGATGGCCTGGATTTTGAGTCCTGACCCTCCTTCCCCCATATTGCCCCAAAGGCAGACCTGGAGGTTCCAATCCCCAAATACTTTCTGCTGGAGCAGTCCACAATTCTGAAGGAGCGAGGGCTGATGCTGGCAGAGATCCTGTCCAGAATGGAGCCAGTGACCTCTGAGGGGGTAAGTCAGGGACACACCCTCCCAGATTCCTCTCATACACCCCTCCCAGAACAGAGATGCCATCTTCCAGGACAGAGAGGATTTGCCCTGCCCTATTCCCACCTCAGAGTGCTCTTTGGGGAATCCCTGGCCTGCTTCAAGGATGCTCTCGTGCTCCTCGAAACCTTCTGACAGCGAGATAGAGGACAGGACTCGGGCACTCCACTGGGAGGACCATGTCCCCAACATGTTGTTTGGTGGATGGTCTCCCAGCTGCTAGCCTGGGTACAAGCCCTCTCTCATCTTCTCCTGCTCCTTTGCCCCTGCTGTGGCCAGGGTTTTCCAGAAATGCACCGGACCGAGGCCATAATCCTACTGCAAAGGGCTGAGCGGGCCAGGCAAGGCCGGCTCCGAGCCACCTTCATGCGAGAGATTCGGAAAGAGGAGGAGCAGAATGGGAAGATTCGAGAGGGCGGTTGGCACAGGTTCAGTCAGGACCAAGCCGCTGTCACCATACAGAAGGTAACCCCCCAGCACCAGGAGGAAGGTCAGCGTTGAGTCACCTCTTCCAGGAAGACTGCCTGGCTCAGCAATTGAGGACAGAGGTGCAGGTGCTTGGATTCTGTTGCCCCCATAACCAGATCCTAAACTGGGGACCTAATCAGTTAATAAGCTTGTATCTTGTGCTATATCTCATAGAAGCCCCAGAAACAGAAGGATCATTAAAATTAGAGGAGAAAGATCCATAATAAGGTAGCAGAACATAGTAGATGATCATTCCGGAAACTCATAAGACTGTTAAAGATGAGTCACTAAAATGGATCCTGAGACTCCTGGCAGCTGAGGTAAAAGGAATGGTGATGAATGAAACAGAGTTTGAGAACTGATGTGA